TCATACAATAATCCCACATTCACACCTGGAGCACCTACAACACCGCCCCCCTCCCACCCACACCTTTTCCCTTTGCAGACAATCAACACAAACCTGCATTCTGAACGACGGCAACATCGGGCGGTCGGGCGGGCTGGTAGATGATCCTACGTGGGAATATTACGAGAGGAAGTCCCTGGCTGTTAATTGCACGAATAAGTTTGTCTGCAATGATGGCAAGTGCATCAATTCGACCCAGGTGAGAAGCATGGTTGAATGTTTTTTTTTTCTTTTTCTTTTTTTTATGTATTTATTTATTATTGTTTTCTTGTGTGTGTGTGTGTGTGTTTGTGTTGCGTTTATTCTTCTTCGATGTACAGTTGATGATGTGATCTAATTTTAATATAGGAAATTACTTTTAACTTGAAAAGAAAAAAAAGAGAAAAACTTCATATCATACCACACTTCTACTAAGAAATAATTACAAAAACTACAATTATTTATTCTAATTAAAATGTTGCATCGTCATGCCTCTCGCCACCAGCGTTGCGACGGCAGGAAAGATTGCAAATTGAGCGAAGACGAAGCTGACTGCGAAGGTCGACTCAATTTTGAAGTGAGACTCGTCAACGGATCTGATGCTTACGAAGGGCGCGTTGAGGTCAAAGGTCAGTTTGTCACCTTTTTTGTCAGGTTGTATGTGTCTAGAATAAAATTTCGTCATGGAAATGTTCATGTTTGATTTTGATTTGATGTCATCATCACCATTACCATCACCATCATCATTACTCTCACTCACTATCACCACCAACACCATTATCACAATCATCATACCATCCCCATCGTTAATGTCACTGAATCCACTACCTCTAACGTGAATAATACTATCAACATTAATAAAGCAAATCACACAAGAGAGGCAATTCAACTAATTCCCCCGAACACAGTTATGTTAGACCCTTTCTCAAGTACACCAAGATCAGTAGAGATGCACGAACTAACACCATAAGACCCCCTACAGTGTTTGGTCGTTGGGGTCCCGTGTGTGATGACATGTGGGGTCTACCGGAGGGGGACGTGGTGTGTCATGAGCTGGGCTTCCCTACAGGAGCTAAGGATGTCTTTGTCGATTCACAGTGAGTACATTTATCAAGAGTAATTATCATACTATCTTCGAAAGCTTGCGTTTAAGAGTTTCGTTTTGTTTTTCATATGTTCAAAGTTTTTTTTTGTTTTGTTTTCTATTTGCTTATATGTTTATTGATTTTTGAATGTTGCGTAATGATGGTAGTTTTTTGGATCTCGTCATAAGAGTGTTGTTTGGTTACTTACTTTGGATATTTCAGCAGTCTTACTGGAATAGTTTTATAGTATTTCTTTCTCTCTATCCCTGTCTGTTTCTGGTTCTCTATATCTCTCTATCTGTCTAATAGCTTCTCATGCATTCTTCCTGTCTGTCTGCCTGCCTGTCCGTCTGTCTCCGCCTCTCTCAGTTTCTCACTCACCTTATCCCGTTCTCTGTAACTATCTGTATATTTAGATCTCTCCCTAACTTTTTCTCTCTCTCTGTTCTAGGCTCTTCTATTACTCAGTTTCCCACGTGTGACTCTTTCATGCTACACCCCATAGTTCTCTGTTACAACGAAAAAAAAAACTTATAACAAAATAAAACTCAATACACAGATATGCGACTTGTCTAGAATACTACCAGGCTTAAGCAAAGAAGAAAAAGGTAATAGAAATAAAGATAATGGTGATGGCGACATGGTAGCAATAACGGTGATGAAAATAATAATGGCAATAACGAGACATAAAGATGTTAAAAAAAGGTAATTATGTAAAGAATGATAATAAATGTAATAGCAAGGATGTTGAAAATAATAATGGTAACAGCAGTAACAGCAATATCGATATCGATAACGATAAGGATAATGAAACCGAATGATGAAAAAATAGCAATGAAAACATAAATAAATAAAAACCATACCACCTCAAAATTTACACAAAGAACAAAAAAAGGAAAGAAAGAAAAAATGTCTTGATATTAATAATAAATAAAACCCCCCATAAAAGTCTCTTCGTATTAATAATATTAATAAAACATATATAAAAAAATCTCTTCATATTAATAATAATGAAAACAATATAAAAAAATAAAAAATAAAACTTGATATATTCACAGGTTCGGTTCGGGAAATAGCCAGTTTTTGATGGACGACCTTAACTGCCACGGTAACGAGGGGAGTTTGGCCGACTGTGATTTTGCGGGCTGGGGAGAACACGACTGCCAGACGTCCGAGGTGAGAGTGTGAATGGAGAATGGTGAGAATTGAAGTTGTGAATGAGTAAAATTGTAAAAAAAGGGGGTGTAAACTGTGGTTTTAATGTGGGGGTGGTTTAATGAGATTTGTGTGTGTGTGAAAGTGAATAATTGATTAGAATTGTATAAAAAAAAAAGTTTGACTCATATACCCAGTGGTTTTAATAGGGATGGTTTAATTGAGATATTCTTTTTGGCTAT